TGTAAAGTCAACTGCTACCTGGAATGGGTGTACTTTATTTTCCATGAATACTTGTAGCACAAGCCATATCTAAGTAGGATAAAATAATTAAGTTGTACCTCTTCTTTTTAATAGAGCATATAAATTTCGTACAACCTGGGAGTGCTAAGGAGAAGAAAGGGTGTTTGTGGGACACAGAACCACCACAGAGGAAAGAGCTTCTGAAAAATAGACTAGATATTTTCAGCAAACTCATAACCTGGCCGTTCATCTTCTTCCAACTGAAGGTCAAGAAGGCAAGGATCATCTCTCCCCAGCAGCCATGAAAAATACTCAGAGGTATTTTAGCTGAAAGCACCAGCTCAGCTGTTACCATGAAGGAGAGTCACATTCCCCAGTCTTTCCACCATGCATTCAATCTCGGAAATTAAGCCATTAAAAACAGAGCAATGCAAACAAAATGTAGCTGAGAGATTTGCATGATCTATTGCAAGACAAAAAGTTCTTATACGGAAGAAAGAAGTTTAAGCAACCACAGACAAAATTCTTTGCATTTTTGCAGTGTATGAGCTCCAAGCTTTGAAGTTAGTCAACACGGCATGGACATCATGGTATGTGGATTGACGTGGAAGCAAAAAAAGATCAAGCAGAACCTGGGGCTACAAAGGAACAAAGGGATCCAGTGGGAAATACTAGTCAAGCCATTGGGAACACGGGGTTTTTATCAATATCCAACAGAGAAGAGGCCTTTACACACACATGGTGTTTATACTTGCTGTGAAGATGCAGAAACCTGAAAGTTCACGTGCCACTCTAGTTTCCTGGCCAAATTACAGTCTCAGCAACTGCTGTCCTACAATTCAGCCAGTTCAGATTCCCCACCAACATAATTCTGATATCAACTCCATCCCCTATAATGTCCTCAGCTGCTTTTAGGAGTGCCTCAGGACACACACTCCCTTACTGTCAGGCCTCATCATTTAGGCTGCAAGCTACAGATTTGTGAGGTGGTCACCTCCCCTACACTGCTGGCTGTATTCTATAGAAATGAGCTCCAGTGGGCATGGCCAGCACCTCCACCTTCAGAAACCTTCCAGAGCCCTGTGGTTGCAGCCGTTGTGTTCTGCAAAGCAACAGAAGAATGTGCTTCTCCCAAATTCTGTGAGATATCATGTCACCTGGGCCTTCATGCAGCACTGTGCACACCATGAGAGATTCCAGGCTTCTTGTCAAGCGGCCCCTGTAGCTTCTCAGGAGTCAGAGCCCAGTTCTTGGGCCAGCCAGGGAACAGAAACAGCTCTGCCTTCAGCTCCTCATTCATCACCTCTTTCTGTTCAACACCCAGCTCCTCCCTCACTCCTCACTGCCTCCCCCAAATACCTCTTTCAGCCAAAATGAGCAAACCGGAGAAAGTTGTCACACATGGGGATGGCAACCCAGGAGGAGGAATGAAGGACCACTGATTCCTGCATTATTGTTTATGCCGTGATGTGGGGTGAAGACATTGCCCTCAAAGGGTTGATTCCTACTGGGCATTAGTTTCAGAGAGGTGAAGACGCGTCACCCACTGTGACAAGGCACGCACCAATTTTTTGCTTGTAGATTCTTCTATGGGCTCTTGTCCCAGGAATAGGGGCTTTCGAAGAGCCAGAGGCCAACGCTGCTGCTCATTTTCAGGGATGTGAATGGGATTAAGCTGGACCTTAGTGAGTTCACTGGCAATCACCTGAGTTGGTAGTGCCTAGACGATCCAACAATTGGAGGTCTCCAGGAAGCTGACTCCTTTTCATTTGTGATTTTTTAATAAGACATGTATCTGACAAAGCCTTGAGATTTTGATGTGAGCTAAGCTGACCAGGAAGGGGCAGAAGCTCTGGAGACAGACAATCTTGGGTGTGAACCCTGGCACTGCCATTCAGAGAATTGCCCAACTGCTTGGGCAATTTGTTTAACTCTCCTATCCAAGCCTCAGTTTTCTCATCTATAAAATGGAAAGAAAATAATAACTAGAGTTTTCAGTGAAGACTAAATGAAATCACGCTTCTAAATGGTTGGCCTCAGGTACAGGAAATGGTCGGTAACTGCTGGTTACCATTTACCATAGCCTTAAACACAGACAAGCCGGGAGCTGACTAATGCAAATGTTAACGTCTCCTTCAGCAAATATGTTCCCTGTAAGTCGCCTTTAAATGAAAGTAGGAGCGGACACTGAGTACCATCACCTACAAAGAGGAAAGATGGAAGCTGTAGGCATGGCAGCGAGTTGCCTGAGGGTGGAGGGTTCTGAGAGAAGCAGCTGCAGGAGCCGGACCGGGACTGCAGCTGGAGCTGCTGATAAGGAAGGAATGAAAGAACGTGATAAAGACTCTCTTCCAGATAGTCTTATGCAGTTTGACTTAACGTGAAAGCAATAGGAAGAGATCTAGTCACATCTGGAAGGTATAAGCAGGTCTGATTTTAAGAAATATACAAGAGTTCAAGATCGGCAGATACTACCTAATACATATAAAATAGATAAACAACAAGTTCATACTGTAGAGCACAGGGAACTATATTCCATACCTTGTAGTGACTTACGGTGAAAAAGAATGTATGTATGTTCCTATGTGACTGAAGCACTGTGCTGTGCACCAGAAATTGACACAACATTGTAAACTGACTATACGTCAATAAAACATGTATATAAAAAACAAAAACAAACAAACAAACAGAAATATGCAAGAGTCATGTTAAACACAAGGGGAGCTACTGAGGGCTGGGGGGCTCTGCGCTGCTGGGTTGCTGACGGGAAAGTGATTTACTGATGCTATGAGGACTCTCGGAGTCAGGACTTACTGACTGGGCTGGGGCCCCTTCATCTCCTGCAGCTGAGGGAGGAGGTGTGAGCAGGAACGTGGAGGAGACACAGACCAAGCTCTGCCATCTCTCGCTGAGTGTCCCAAGCACCCTCCCCCATGAATCACCATCCTGCTTTCCTGCGGGGGCTTCATGCATGTGCAGCTGCTCCAACTGCCCAAGGACAAAAGAGCCAGTCTCACTGCACATCAGCCCAACTGAACATTACACACTGACACCCTAGGGCCCTCGGAAAACGGGATGGTCTGTGTCAGTGAAAAGTGGATGGAGGGGGACACAAGGAGGAGACTCACAGGGGCTTTTCCAAGGCAACTGGAAGGCAAATGGAATAGAGTTGAATGAAAATCGAGTGTCACTGACTCCATTTCACAAACTGTAATCTATAAATGGGCAACCAATAACAAAGAAGAAGAGCAGACAGATACGATGGAGGTAATATTTTGAAAATTACAAGTGTGAATTTTTCTTTGCCTTTCTGAGTTCATGATCTTCACCCAACTTGGCCCAAGACAACCATCTGCATGAGGAATTAAGATTTGTTTCAGAATGAACAGGAAAAGACTGAGGTTATACTTGGCTTCTGACACTCAAGATGGGAACTTTTAGCAACATGGAGCTTTACTAAGACTCAAAATCCCTGTATTCTTTACACTTCTTCTTCCGGGGTATAAAGAAGATAGTCCTCCCAGCTGTGCTGGGACTCGGGGAGCAAGGCAATAAGGCTCACAGGCCTGCAGGGGACTTGCAGTGGACACTGCACAGGAGAAGCAGGTGGGAGCCGGGAAGACAGAAGAGACCAGAGAGAAAGAAAGGGAGGAGGGGGAGGCCATCACGTTGTGTGACCACTCCATTGTGCGACAGACCGTCTGACTGCTCTGGGCTTCAGCCTAGTCTGGGTGTGGATATCAGATATCAGGTCACTGACGTTCAGGCTGAGGGCAGGTGGGGGCTCCTGGGACGACAGAAGAACGCGGTCTTGCAGCTGGGCTGTACCAGCCCGTACACAGCCACGCCAAAATCAGCTTGATGGCTTGGCGAGGTTAGGTAGAGGTAGGCCTAAGTCTGGGCCACTTAGTTTCCCTGGGCCACTCGTGGTTCCAAAGAGCATAAACAGGACCCAGGTATACCTGAGAATCTGGCTGGGGCAAAGAGTAGCACCCTCCCTCAGCCAGGTGGCTCTGCATTGAGAGTTTTGGAGGATGTGGCCCAGACAGGAGCCAAATAGGAGTCACCTTCAGAACTCAGAGGTGCGTTGCACACACAGGAACGGAGCTGGAGGCTGTGTCCTGCAGAACACGCAGGCACTGACCGAGACAAAGAGGAAGAAACAATAGCCAGAAGTGGCCACAGAGGTTCACAGGACGTGAGGCCTCACCCCAGAAGCCAGAGAGCCAGAGGACAGCATGTCTAAGGACCCTGATTCTGCCTCCACCACAAGATCGTGTAAGTCTCACCACTGCCGCCACATACCCAGATGCCTTCTCGAAATGAAGCGAGGTGCTAAGCCGGGGACACAATCTGACAGACGAGTCGTGCTGGGTTTCTGTTCCTAAAAGTCTGAGTTGGAAGTGCCTTTTACGTTTGCAAATCAGATTCATGTTTTAGCCAAAGCATTAAAGCTAGATGTCAATTGTCTTGGTTTGTTTGTCCCCAGGTAATCAGCGGCAAGAAAGCCAGATTTGTTACGGAAGAAATAACAGAGCTACATTTTTCTCGGCATATCCTAGCTGCGGTGTGAGTGAAATTCGCAGTCCTGCCCTGGAGCTAAATCAAATAAGAAGTGTGAAAGGATAGAGGGACCAGTAGATGTCCCGGGCGTTTGTTCCTCCTCAAGGTGAAGCCGTGAATGGGGTAATGCCTGGCAATGATGGGGGCTGACAGTGCTAAAAGGTGACTCTGTTCCTACGTGCGTTTTTTGAAAGGAGACATGAACATGGATTGAATGTCACTAATTAGCTCACCTTAAGAGGCCAGGCTGATATCATTAAACAAATAATGCTCATGGTGAAGTCCTGGCCAGTGACTGAGCAGTAACTACCTGAATTCAGGAAGTGACATTTCACAGGGCTTCTCAGTCAGTAGTCATGTACCGGCTCCCACATCAGATATCTGTTGCCGTATAACCAGTCCAAATCAGATGGCTCAAAATAACAAACACTTACTACCTGACAGTTTCTGAGGATCAGGAATCCCAGAGCAGCACAGTTGGGTATCTGGGCAGTTCTGGTTCAGGGCCTCCCACGCAGTGGCAGTGAAGCTGCTGGCTTGCAGCCTGCAGTCATGTAACAGCTGTGGCGGGGGCATCCGCCTCCAGGATGCTCACTCATGTGGCTGTGGGCAGGAGGCCTGAGTGCCTCGTGTGATGTCCTCCATAGAACAGCCAGAGGGTCTTTGGACATGGCAGCTGGCTCCCCCAGAGAAAGTAATCTGAGAGAGAGAGAGAGAGAGAGAGAAAGAGAGAGGCAGACGTCACACTGGGGCTTTACAACTTAACCTCAGAAATGACATCCCATCACTTCTACAGTTCTCTTAGTCCCCCAGACCGGCAGCGTGGGAGGTGATTACACAGGGCGTGAATACCAGGAGCTGGGCCACTGGGGCTGTCTTAGAGATTGCCTACTATGACTCCTTGTGAAGGAAAAACAAATTCAACAGACCTCCTAGTGTGGTATAAATTATTTGTGACTTGAACTTGCAAAATAGTTACTTGAACTTGCAAAAACATGAAGCTAAGTACAAACCCCTTTGGCATAAATAAGTCATATAAAAATACACTATAACTTTTTAAATCTTTGTTTTTGCTCATTTAGAATAATCAGGCCTCATAAAAATCCAAAATTTTGTCAATCCTGGGATACAAACTTTAATAAGGTGTCCCTTGATGACTACAACCATCTAGTTTGTTCCCTGGAAGATAAGTTTCACATTGCAGTGTTATTGAAACCTGCATTAAATAGATCTCTAATCCACTTACTGCTAGAATCAACAGAAAATTCTGCATTGCTTTTTACTGCTACATTTTTTGCTGATGAATAGCTGCAAGTTTGCCTGTGCAAAAATGGAATCTGCATAATACATCTGCTCCCAACATAAATATGGTACTGGCTGCCACAGCACAAATTCTTTAGATTTCGGCATGCCTATATTCTGTAGGCCCCCAAATGATTCACTTCCCCTATCCTCTGTCTGATCTGAACCTCTGTAAAATCTTCCTTCTCAGAATGCTATGATATCATTTGCCTTCACTTGGCATAAAGGAGATCATAAATGAAAGTGCAAAGCAGTCACTGGCATCATGGGGCAATGTTCAGTTTGTAGGCAAATCTCTAGATGTTACACAACACTCTTATATAATTAGTTCTAATCACAGGAAAAATAAAAAAGGCCACAACTTGTGACCTACTAATACAAATGCTTTCCCAGCATGTAGCTGTGTCCTGAGGTCTCAGTTTACGCCGAGAAGCCCCATCGAATGAAAATGTGTCAGTGTTCATTTATAGACACATCAGGATGTTATCCAAGAGAGAGGAGCAAAAAAGGTGTCCCCGGAGATCACAGCTGTGTCTCCTCCAAGAGCACAGACTCCATTAGTCCTGCGGGCGTGGGGGTCATGCTGAGACCCAAGGGCCTTCTGTTCTGACTCCTCCTTTCTCATATTCTTCCACGGCCTAGATTGTGAGACGCCCCCCAACCCCAGATCCAGCCAGATGACAAGTCATCTTTCCAAAGGTATAGCTACAGGGGCAGAATGACCGTGGGTGTTAGGAAGCAGTTGCCACTGTAAACTTAGTTTGGTTTTGGAAAATCATACCCATACGTTTGAGGAGATTTTGAACCACTTGGCACTTTACTTCCTCCCACCACCCAGAAAATACCCTCTGGACCTGAGAGCTTCTTAACAAAGGATTTCATGGCTTTGACACTGAGCATGGCTTTCAAGGATGATATGGAGCCCCTGACCTCAGATGTCAGGACTGTCAGCCACCATCTCTTGCATTCTAACTGCATATCAGGACCCCTTCCCCATCTGAGCAGGTAAAAGAATCCTCGGAAAATGGCCCCCCTCCCCAACTTGGCCCTCAGCCCACAGGAACCCAGAAGGAGGAGCTCTGACATCCGCTCCTCAGCTTTGTCTGTTGGTGTATTGCAGCTGACATTCACACCCATCCTGGAGAGACACAGCTCATGGGTCTTCCTGCTCACCCCGTCTTGCCTGCTGCTAGCAGATGAATGGCCACTTACTCATTGAAAGAGACAAGAGAATAAAATCTCACACACAGAGCCAAGCATGGACCCACTTTAGGCCTCTGTCAAAGCACAGCTGCAGATGGAGAAAGGCCCCCACCCCAGCCCACACTTTCTGACTAATCAGGATGTGGCTTGGGGGGCACTTTTCAGAAGGACTATAGAGAAAGGACTGTAAAGTCCTGCATGCAAAGTGCGGGTGTCGACTTCGCTCCAGGGCCTTTGCTTTTTAAAAACATGCTTTCAAAACCCTAAATATTTTTAGGTGGTGAGAAAGGGCTGGAGACAAAGAGAATGTGCTTTGTTATAAAAATCCCTTGGGATAATTCTCTGACAGACTCCGGATTCAGTTCTGGTGGGAAGTTCCCAGCAAGCCATTTTACTGAGGGTCAGGTTTATTCTCTTCTGCTGAACTGCTGCAGGGAATCCGAGCTAAACCATCACGAGGAGAATGAGGTGAGCCTCACAGCAGCTGAGCGGACTGGGGGTGCCCGGCAGCCAACGCCGATCTGCCAGCAGTAATCTCGGGGCCCCTGGGCAAAACTTCCGTGCAGCTACAGGAAAGGCTGATTCCTCTTTCATTGCTAATGCAAATGCATCCTTTAGATATTATGAAAGGGATCATGGAAAGTGAGCTGTCTGCTCTCACTTTAGCTGCCTGCCGCCTGGGCTGGGAGGAGCCAGCAGGGTCTAGAATCTCATTAGACCTGCAGCCAGGAAGTGGTTTAAAGCATTACATCATGAGGTTGTCAAGGTAACCGGCCAGGCTCCCTCTGTGGACCCCTGTGGTTCATGATGACAGGTTCTCTCGACCAAGTAAGGAGCAGAGGGATGGCCTGCAGCCTGAAGCACAACAGCCAGCAGCCTGGGCTCCAGGAGGTGACTGCATGCTGGGACGCCGCTGCTGGGACACTGCTGCTGGGCTGCCTCACGGAGGGCTGGGGACACCACAGTACAACCCTCACTGCACGAGGGGAGAGACCATCCCTGGTTCTGCCACTGCCCAGAGTTCCAGAAGAGTGCCTCCCGCCCGGTCACCACCCTGACGGCAGAAAGATGCTCTGCAGCTCACGAGGGCACCCTTCGCTCGCTGAGAGCTCAGGCCCTGGCTTCGCGTCCCCTCTAGGATGGACCCTGCAGGCTCCCTCAGGCCGCACGACAAAGCACCACAACTGCGTGGTCCTGAGCAACAGAAATGTGTCCTCTGACAGTCTGGGGCCTGGGAGCCCAAGACTAAGCTGTTGGCAGGGCCGGGCTTCCTTCAGAGCCTCTGGAGAAGGACCCTTCCTCGTCTTTCCTCCGGTGTCACAGCCCCGCATGTCCCTCGGTTTGCAGTAGCCTCCACCTTCACACTGCTGCCTTCCCTCTGTGCGTGAGCCCTTGTGCCTTTAGACGGCGTTCTCCTCTCTGTGTCCAAGTCTAAACGCCCCTCTTCTTACAAGGACATAAGTCATATTAAATTGATCTTAAGCTGATTACATCTCCAAAGAATCTATTTCCAAATTAGGGCACATTTACAGGAACTGGGGGGGGGTGAGGAGTTCAGCCTATCTTTTTGAGGAACACAGTTTAGTCGGTATCAGGCCACTTTTCACTCTGCACAAAGGCACATGTGACAAACTCACTGAACAGCAGGGAGAAAGCCAGCCCAAGTCGAGGCGTTAGAATGGAACCGCTGAAGAAACGAAGGGCAACTCTGCGGCCTTGGAAGTCAAGGTCACTTTATGATCCTGACCCCGACCACAGCACACGTGGTCGCCTCGGTCTCCTCTCCTGAGGCTCCGAGGGAGGGCTCGTGGGGCAAGGAGCCCAGCAGCGGAGTCCCGGAGGGGCTGCCCTTGCTGCGGCCCCCGGGAGGACGCACCCTGGCTTTCCGTTCCCGTGGTTTCTCCGGGACCGCGACCAGGTGAGCCCGCCCAGCCCTGTGAGCCGCTCATCCTGCACAGCCCAGATAAAGCATTCCTGGTGAGACGTGCCCGCCTTCACTGTCTTAACAGAGGCTGTTCCTTGGAGTCAGCACAGAGCTTTTGCACCGTCTTTATGTCGGGAGCCTGCCAGAAACTCTTTAGAAAGGCGGTATTCTTGTGAATCGAAACAACAGGGTGGAGACCTCACCCGCGGAAACATAAATGACCTGGACTCTGCCCGTCCACTCGCACGCTTTCTCCAAGGCGTTCAGACAAGGAGGCTGGTCACCTGAAGCTAATACTGTGCTTTTTGAACCATCACTCTTAACAATTGGATTAAGGCCACTGACTCTGAAACAGCAATTTTCTTTCTGGAAATGGGGATATGGCCAATGTCAGGCGAGAAAAGGCTAACGGGCAAACCTCGCAGAGTTAGGAGAACCTACTTCCCACCCAAGGGAAAGAAACAGAAACACGGAGAGAGGGGGTGTCCACCCCCAAATTCCTTCCCACGTGCTAGGATTCTCTCTCTCTCTCACATCCTGAAGCCAGCTTGGTCCTCAAAAAAGTGTGACTGTCATTTAGTCACTTGCTGGGGGCTTTACATATTACCTTACACGTCCCCCCCCCCCCCACGCCAGGAGCTGGTATAACATCACGGCAAAGACCTCTGGGCCCAGGGCCAGACGACTTACGCCCATACCCCCACCTTTGACCTCCCTACATGACCCCAGGCAGGCCGATGAGTCTCTGCTGTGAAACAGATCTGAACACCAACCACACGGAGTGGTTGCAAAGATTAAGAGTTAACTTGCAGAAATGCTCGACAAATTTTAGCTCCAATTATGAGGTACTGTAACTACTCCCACTTTCTATAAAAGGAATCTGAGCTTCAAGAAGACTGAATACCATGCTCCGGTCATACAACTAACTGTGGAAGACAGGATTCAGCCCCAACTGCGTGCTCCCCTGACCCCCACCACAGCACGACCATCGTGCACGGCCACGTCCCCACAGATGGGCCAACACCGCCTGGGGGCTCCTGCCCTCCACTTGCAGATCAGGCTTCTGCCTTTCGGTTTCCTCCTGAAAGGCCAGCCCCCTCCTGGCTGTCCCTTTCTCCCAGAGCTCCCCTTTGGAACCCATTTTCCCCAGAGAGCACCTCAGAGTTCAGACCAAACCTCTCCCCTCAACAGATGCCTTCCTGGGAATCCCCTTCTGTCAGCACTGCCCTGGAGTTTCTGACGCCACAGTGGCCACACGTGTCGGCTAAAA